CATCTTCCTTTCTTTCTTTCTTTTCCTTCTAGATGCAGACAAAATATAGAGAGGATATATATATATACATATATTTATAAATCAAAATAAACAAATATACAAACGATTTTACCAAAAAAAAATTTCGAAATCACAGATGTGGGTTGCTTGAATGAATGCTTTGTTTGCTTGAATGAGTTTCAAGAAAATGACTCTTAGATTATTGCCCAAATGTAATTAACCCTTCACGTACACTACTTGAATAGAGGTGCCTCTTTCTCTTCTTCTCTCTTCGTGCCTCGCTAGAGATCTCACCCAGGGTGAAAAGACTACCGCTCGATTTGGTGACACACTCTCTCTCTCTTTTCGTTCGATCAGAATGATTTGGTTTTCACTCTCGACTTCATTTGATCCATAGCAGGCAAACAAAGATTTGTTTCATTAGATTTGTTCCATGAATATGTTCTAGCCGATGTGGGTTTTGCTTAGAGAGAGAAAGAGAGAGATGATGACAGTGGTGTGTTATGCTCTGCTACTTTTTTTGTTTTTATTTTTTTGAAATTTTGCCCCAAAATGTCATTTTGGGGCACCGCGGGACCAACCGCAAGAGAACATGAGAGAGGATCCGGACTCATTTATTATCTTGTTAACTTTCCAAACCACCTTTTTTTTTTTTCTCTCCTTTTATGAGAATAATGCCAATAAATTCACAAGGCCACTATACTATGCACTTCCAAGTTTTTCCAATTAATTGAGAATGGAGATAAATCATCTTTTAATTCAAAAGTTAATGTTGGAAATAATGATTTTTATAGGCTTATTTTGGACCAACTTTGAGCCCAATTTTGAGTGAGCCACAAACGTCTTTTGGGGTGGGTCCGAAGAGCTGACATGTTCCTTGCCACATGGTAAGTCACGCGGTGAAGACGGTTTGTCAAAACCATTTATGAGTGAATGGAAACTTGACGTCGTTTTTAAGTTCATGAAATGAACATTTAAAGAATTAAATGTGGGTTTCCTTGTAAGACTTGTCTTACATTGAAACTTTAAGAGAGCTTGTGTTAGGCATGGCAACGGGGCGGGGCGAGGCCGGGGATGACCCTCCCCATCCCCAATCCCCGACAGTAACAAAATCCTCGGCACCGCCCCCGATCCCCAGCGAGGAACCCTTCACCTCCCCCATCCCCTAACGGGGACCGGGTTTTCCCGACCTTGAAATATCCCCGACCTTTTTTTTTTTTTCTTAATTTTGTTCAACACAAGAAAAAAAAATTAATATATTTTTAGTATGTTTCATCATCATCAACAATCATCAACAACTTTAAAAAAAAAAAAATCTGAAATTAAAAAGAAGTATAGAAAGATTTGAAAAAAAATCTGAAATCATCAACATCACTAAAAAATCTGAAATCATCAACAATAATCATCAAATCATCAACAGATTTGGTTCATTTTATTTCACCATATGGTTCAGATCTGAGAAATGGAGAAGACAAACGCCTTAGATTTAAAACTAAAATAAAGAGAGAGAAGATAGGGAGAGAGAGAGAGTCGTCTTACCAAACCCCATTCTTCATCACCAGCGACGATGGCAGGGTATGCAGCGGAGCTGCCCCATTCTTCTTCGCCAGCGCCAATGGCAGGGTATGCGACAGAGCTGCCGCAGCAAACGACGAGCACGACAGTGCAAACAACGAGCGACCACAGTGAAGAAAGAGAAAGGAAGAGAGGAGAGAGAGTGTGGAATGGCAGAGGCGGTGAGAGAGGAGAGGCAGTCGTCGTTGTGTGTGTATGTGAGAGAGAGAGAGAGAGGGGAGGCGAAACCTAGTGGCTTTGTGTGAGAGAGAGAGAGAGAGAGAGAGAAAGAAAGAGAGCAGCGTTTGTGTGATATGAGTGTGGCAACAAAACCCTAAACACACACTTATATATAAACAAGGGTATAATGGTAATCTTACATTGGGGCTGAACCGAGTGGGGCCGGCGCTGGGCCAGGCCGAGTTCGGGGCTACGACATGTATCCTCATCCTCGTCCCCAGCCCGAATATCATCGGGGATTCCTTTTTGAATACCATTCCCGGCCCGTTGAAGGTATTTTTCAGGGAATAACCACACAATTCGGGTCGGAGGGTCAGGTCCCCATCAGACCAGGTTTAGATTGCCATCCTTAGCTTGTGTATGTATATAAACTCAAGTTGGTGACACTTGGATTGGGCCCCAAAAAGCCCCCCAAGTTTGTAGAAAGAAAAAGTTATGGACAAAGTGAACTTTAGGCCAAATTAGAGCTGCAAATGAACCGAACTGTTCATGAACAAGTTCGACTCGACTCGGTTCATTTAGGGTTGGTTTGGGATGTCTTAAAAAAATGCACTTTTTGACTTATTGGTGGATTTGGATTGGGTTTGGGTTGGGTTTGATGTGATGTGTTAGAGAGGTGATGTAATTTAAATAAGATGATGTGACTTAAATAAGATAGTGACTTTTTGACTTTTTGACTTATTTAGTACATGCCAAACTAGCCCTTAGTAAACGAGTCGAACTTCGACTATTTGGCTTATTTAGTAAACAACCCAACTAGTATAAAAACTATTTATATATTAATAGTATACTTATATATTAAATATTATTTATAATATAATAAATACATTATTTATATATTAAATAATACAAATAATATTTTTTATTTAAATAATATTAAAAAAAATATCAAGCCAAACTAGTTTCATTAATATTAACAAACCGAGCCGAACTCAAGCTCAAGCTCAATAAACGAACTTGATAAATAAGCGAGCCGAGCTCGAGCTCAGCTCGGTTAAGTTCGTGCACGTCGTCCGTTCGGCCCAGCCGTACCGAGCGCGGTTGTAGGTTATGGGTCAGGTCGGTTCTAATATTAATTTTTTGAACAAAATTCATTTGAATTTAAATTTGAATTTAAAATTCACACCAAATTTGAATTTAAATTAATTCAAAATTCACACCAATTTTGAATTTAAATTTTCTGTCTAATATTACCTCCTCCAGTCCAATTTTTCCAAACAGATTAAACTATTCAAACAGTTTTTCAAATTCGTTGGAACTCAAACAGATTCAAAACTGCCAAACAGGTTTTTAACTACTGCAATTTCAAATAGATAAAAACTGCCTAGCAATTATCTGTATCTGTTCAGTTTAATTTTGCATCTGCTCATTCAAAAACAACACATGTTCGGCAGATTGGTTTGTTTATAAATACCAGCCATTTCAAAAGTCTTTGGCATCCAAAAACAATTTGAAAAATTCATTTTGCAATCCATTTTTGCTCTTGTATAATTTATTCTTCATATTATTTTAAGAAAAAAATTCAAAAAGTTTAGAACACAGATTATATTCACCGAACAAATTATTTAGAGTATTACTACAAATTATGAAGATCATTGTATCCTACAAGATAGACATCATTAGTCCATAAACGCCAAAGCAAAGTAAATCAGTCTTAAAAATAGAGTATCGCATACTCGACTTAATTTTTTAAATACTTTATCAATTTGGTAAAATAAATTTAATAAGTAATTATTTTATTTATTTAATTTGCTTCAATTTACAAATACTGAGATCCTCTATAAAAAAACATAAAAAATAAATTAGGTATACACCTCAGAAGGATAGCTTTTGAAAATTTTCAAAACAATAATTTGAATTTAAATTTAAATTTGCTCAAATGGCTCAAATTTTAATTTGCCAATCGTTGGGCCAATAATCATAAGAGTCGTCCAACCGATTAACCAATAACAGTGACAACCTCAATCAACAATAATAACAACAGTAAACAAGTATTGCACCATCCAAACAGCCAACCCATATACACTAATTGAGACAATTCAAACAAATTTAAATTCAAACTACCAAACAAATCCAATTTTTTTCTTGTTCTAAAAAAAAATACATTTTTTTTCTTATAATACCATATGTACAAATATATCTTAAAATATAAAATCAACTATGCATACAGAGGAAAATTTTAATTAAGTGCATTTAGAAAACCCCTTTCCATCTCCAAATAATCAAAATCCAATCACAATGGTTTACCGAAATTATCATTTTAAAAAAATAAAAATAATTAATAATAAAATCTCTCAGATTTCAGATATGCATATAAGTTTTCAACCTAAAATGTATTAATCAAATTTATTTTCAAGGTAACTAACATCACATCAAAATTAAATTCTAGCCCAGAATACAAAACATGAACAATTTTGAAGAATATTTTCAACATTTTTAAAATTCAATTTACATACATTATTTAGCCATCACCAAAAAACCCAGCTTTACTACTTATAATGTTTATATTTTGAAAATGTGTTAAAAATGCCTAAAACAAATTATATTTATAACTAACGAGCCAAACACAACTTAAACAAACAATAAAAAATTATTATTATTATTATTAAAATACAAGGGATATGCCCTTTAAATCAAATTTACTCCTCTAATTATCAACTTTTAACTTGCAACAAATTAAACCAAACTGCAGACTGGGGCAGAATAAGGGTAAGTACTGGATCATTGATGGTGTAAGCAGTGTTGGACAAGTTGGGCTTGGAGAATTTTTGGCTAAAAATCACAACAAAAAAAATAAATAAACTAAAATAATCAACACCACAAATATCATATCAAACTCATTAATTATTTCACTTTTTATGGCACAAAAATCCTATCCAATTATAAAAATTCCAACCATCTTCTTAAATACACAAATTTTAACTACTCAAATGACTAAAAAAACCTATTAAAATAACAAACTTCCCAGACTAAGCCATTGACAATACAGACCAAGTCGTTTCAATCTCTACAAAACATCATGACAGCTTCAATTCATTAGTAATAAATAAACATGTAAAAACAATCAACTTTGACCAAAAACCAAGATATTTAGGCATTAGATATTTTCTTATGGTCAAAAGATTAGTAAAATTAATTTATTTCTTCTACAATAAAGGTGTACCTTCCAACCTTAGTAACCAGTCTACAAATCACAAACAAGCAATTAAAATCAACCACCATGGTATTGACAAAACAATGAGACACTTTCAATATGGATGGCAGAAGCAAAGAATTCTAACAATATAAAAACCCTAGTTTAATCATTGAAGATTGAAGAACATCAAGTACATAGCCATATATAAGTGAGCTTCAGGACTTCCTGAAACTTCTTTCATCACCTACCACCACCACCATCATCCAACAAGCACAAAAAGAGAAAAACTGACTATTTATCAAGATGGACTAACCCCAAAATGACTAGTCTTCATGTTATAGAAATCCTACACAACCTGCCCCAATCTTCACCGCAAATCCCCACCCACCTCCTGCATTTCGCCTACTCGTCGTCATCTTCTTCCTGCAATGAATGCAAAAACAAACAACTCTCATAATCATCGCTAATAATTAATCAAATCAACACAAAGGCATATAAAAATTTAACAGTAATCAATTAAAATCTCATTGGAACCTCTCCACTCTCATCATCGTCGTCGTCGTGCACCTCGGACATCGATTTGTCAGACTCCTCATCCTCAGCTGGTCCGTCAGCCTATCATTGAATTTAAGCCAGTAAGAAATGATCAAAAAGCTTCTTTTTTCTTTTTTTTTTCGCCTAAATAATAGTTCTATGACTACAAAAAGAAAACAAAAAATTGAAATAAAATAATCATGTAATAAGCAAATTGCAGTTAGGGGAAAGAATAATACTATTCTCTTATTGTAAGCCTCGATGTTCTTGTTGTATTCAGTCTTCCTTTTCTCTGCCCTCGAGACAAATGGGGCTTTTTCCTAATTTTCGAAAGAAAAAAGAAAAAAAACAATCAGTATGAATAAATGCATTTACTTTGGAGTAGTTACAATTAGAAGTAAATTATTAGCTCGAATCGTTTTCTACAAAATCACTCACAGCTTCTGACATGGATTTCCATTTGTCTCCACCAGCCTTACCAACCTGGACCAAATTCGATACAAAAATGCTAAAAATTAAATCAAATTTTAACAAAAATTAGACAAAATTCTGGAAAGAGGATGATTCAAAAACGCTTACAGCAGCAACGGACTTGTTGTTTGGATGCTTCTCCTTGTACGTCTTCCTGAAATCCTCCCTAAGATATATACACACAAACGCCAAGCAAGCAAATAAGCCCTAAATCAATTGAAAATTTTTATTTACAGGGAAAGCACAAATCAATCAACGATGATTATACATGAAAACGAAGAAGGCACTGGCAGGCCTCTTAGGCTTGTTAGGATCCTTGGCAGCAGCCTTCCCCTTTTTCGCAGGCTGTTTAGCAGGTTTCTCGGCACCTTTCTTCTTCACAGAAAGCCTAACAACAAAGCACAAACAACAATCGATCCTCATCATCATCAACACACAAAAACAAAACAAAAAACAGATCTAAAAATGCCATAAACACACCCAAAAAAAAAACTCACTTGGAATCAGCTTTCTTGGGCTCCGCCTTCGATCTACCTCCTTTCATGGTAAAACCTGCGAAAAAAACGATCAGAACCGGTGAGAATCGTTCGGAATCGGCCAAAAACGAGGCGACACGGACTGAGTTAGCGCCGCGGTGAGACGAGTTACCTCTAGGGTTAGGGTTATAGAGAGAGAGTGAGTGAAACGATTGCTTTGCTTCGGTGTGGTGAGGAGGACAGATAAGAAGAGAGGAGTTTGTGAAGGAAAAATTAAAATTGGAATCACGAATGAATTGAAGTCCGGGTTTGGGCGGGATTTCAAAAAAAATCTTGTGCCACGTCATCGATCCGTGTGAGGGAACCTCATTGGTTGGCTCTATGTCTCTGTGCGTTTTGCATGTTGTTGGTTTGTCTATTGCCTCTAGGTTTGTGCTTTCAGTTGTGCTTCTTCAGCACTTGCTGGATGAATAGTAAGGACACCTGTCCGTATTCCATTGATATTTTTACTCACACGTGTTATTCGATATTGTGCTGATTGACGAAACTGACCTTTTTAGGAATTTATTATTGTTTGTTGAAGGTTTTTCAAAGCACTTGGAAAATGAATGAATTGCTATTTGGCCATTGTATTATTGATGATGTTGTATAATTACATCCTTACCCCAGGTTCTCAAGGTTAATTTAGCACATTTTTTTAAATCTAGTTAGGTTATTTGGTGGTCTTTAAACTTATGAGATGGGATTTGACCTTTTTTAAAAAAAATCTTTAAAAAATTTGGGTTCAATAATTATCAAAAAAAAATTGTTTGATTTTAGATCATTTCCAATCTTTTATCAAATTTTAATTTGATGAAAATAGTGCTTCAATCGTTCATCAGTTTAATATCAAATAAAAAATATTGTATTTTTTTATCAAGTGAATGAGCGTTTATCTCGACATCAATTTTGTAAATGCTTATTGGGTTGAACGTTCTTCTAGATATCCTTCAAAAAAATTGAATTTGGGATGAATTTGATAAAAATTTAGACTAAGTTTGACATCTTAAAAAAAGGTCAAAAAGTTAAAAAGTAACTATACTATTTAAGTCACATCATCTTATTTCAGTCACATCACTTCAAACTCAATCCATATTTCATAAAAAGTCAAAAAGTGCATTTATTTAGAACATTCCAAACAACCCCCTACTTTAGAAGGACGACTGGCCAGTCAATCAGCTAGATTTAATGAAAGGGTCGGAATGCATCATATCAGATCAAACTTTTATTCAAATTTGATAAAATATCTAATTAATGATTAGAGATACTTTTGTGAAAAAAATTTTGTAGATTTTTTTAACTTTTGATTTTTAGTGGTGTTGGATTATCCTTGTTAACATTATCAATTACTAAGATAAAATTATCCTTGTATAAATATATGAAAAAATATATTTTAAAATATATGAAGAAAGTTATTTATTTAATCAAATTACTTTTGAATATAACAAAAAAACTATTTAAATACAAATTACTTTTGAATATAACAAAAAAACTATTTAAATACAAAAAAAAAAAAAAATTGAACATGAAAAAAGGGCTCTGTTGTGTCATCATGGCCCCGTAGGGCGCTGACCCCGTGGTAACCGGTTGTCAGCCAAGAATTAACCCTTACCAAGTGAGGGACCCACCACTAGGGCACCAGTAGAGCGCAAACGACACGCCGCAGCGGAGGACAGGTGTCGAGGGGAGTACAGAGCGTGTTCTCCGGAGAGACTTTAAACACCTCCTCCCAAGAATCGACCCTGGCTCTCGGATGGGAAATGCCCTGCATTCTCCACCAAGCCACCAACCCTGGTGGTAAAAAAAAAAAAAATTGGTAACACAACATTAGTATTAAATATTATTAAATGTAAAAAATATATATTGAGATTGTATGTTTTTTACATTTTTTACTTTTTATTAATAGCCAAGCGTTTTAAAGATAGCCAAACAAGCACTCAATCTTTCTATTTTGCGTTTCTGTTTACTTTTTTGCATTGTTGATAACTACGGGGTAGAGATCTCATCTCATCTTACCAACAAACAGTTTTGAAGATAAAAAAAACAAAGTTGAAAAAAATGATCAAAAACATGTCATGTCATTAATTATCACTTTTGGGGGCAAAATGAAAGGGTAAATTTATTTTTTTTTTAGTTTAATTTAAACAGCATATTCAATTTATTATTTAAGGATTGTTTAAAATAGTCTAAATAAGTAAGTGTATTGTTTGACTTTTTATAAAAAAATGTATAAAAAAATAAAGAAGAGATGTTGATTAATATGACTTAAAAATGATAAAAAAATAAAAAATATAAACTTATTTAGTCTTCTCAAATAAGACGCTAATTTTCAAATGATTATAAACATGCATGTATGCACGTACATGATTAATTCCAGTATTCAGCAATTAAAACCCATTGCTCGATCCAATTCTAACCCAAGCATTAACTCATTCACATTCATAGTCAGAACGATGAAATCATCATGTTGACTTTAAATTTACTTAATCCCATATTGTTTTTACGCTCAATATAACAAAAGTCTTAATCGATCTAGAATAATGAAATTTATAATTTTATTTGGAGTTAAAACCCATTGCTCGATCCAATTCTAACCAAAGGTTCATTTGCTAATTTTTAATATAACTTTCAAATATTTTCAAATTTTAATTAAATTTATATATATAATTTAACCCAAAAATTTCATGATTTAACACTATATGCTCAAAATGTAGATTTTGCATATATATATATATAATCCAAAATGTCACAAATCTATCTATTAATGTAAGCATTGAAGGAGAACTAGGAACCCTACCTCAAAATTGGAAACTATGGGTGAAGACCCATTTTCAAACTTCAATGAAATCCCCAAAATAATCGGTCAACGCCTTGATCCTTGCTTGTTCTTGAACCTTGATGCAAGATCCATGGTGGATTGTTGGTAAGAATGGATGAAATCAAAGCATTGGGGGCTAGGTTTTCGGACATGGAGGAGGGGAAAAGAAGAGAGGATGAAAAAATGAAGTTTTTGGGCCAAAATATCACCTTATACTGTTTGTTAGCGACTTGGTCGCTCGAGCGAAGAAGATCTCGCTCGAGCGAGAATACTTTCAGCACAGAAATTCAAAGAGATTAGATCCCATAAAAACTTTTTTTTGTTTTTTGTTAAAATATTTTATAAAAATAAATTCAAACTCTATTTTATAAAAATATTTTTAAAATATTTTAATTTTTTTGTTATGTATTTGGTTATGATTTGCGTGTACATTTGTGAAAGTAGTATGGAGTTTCGAATTATGTGTTTGGTTATGAGTTTTAAAAATAATTTATTAATTGAGTTTTATTTTATGTGTTTGGTTACGATTTGAGTGTAGAATTGTTTTTAAATTTAAAATATTAACATTTGAAATTATTTAAATTTGTTGAATATTTAAATTTTTTAAATATTTTATTTTAATTTTTTACTTATTAAATTTTTTAGATTATTTAAATTATTTAAATATTTATGATTTAAATTTTTGGGATATTTATTTTGAAAAAAAAAATTATTTCCTTTGTAGTATTTTCAATTAAAAAATTGATTAATGCTATTTTCTGTTAATAATAAAAAAAATTTAATTGAATTTTAAAAAAAATTGGTTATGAGTGTTGATCAGAATTTTCAATAGTGTGAAAGTAGTGTGTTTTGTTATAAGTTATAACAATTTGAATTAAGTTTTGAAATTTTTTTCCAAAACTCGTAACCAAACAAATTTTCTTACTTCACATGTCAAATCAAACTCAATTCAAAACTGAATTCAACACTCTCTTCAAAAACCATAAGCAAACAAATTTTCTACACTCAAATCATAATTTCACAACTCTCAAACTCAAAATACAACTCATACTCTCAAATCATATTTACAAAACTCTACCAAACGCAACCGTAGATTTTGTATTTTTATAATCAAAATATCACAAATCTATCTATTAATGCAAGTATTGAAAGATAACTAGGACCCCTACCTCAAGAATCAAGCAAAAGAGCAAAGCTTTGATGAGATTCCTTCACAAATCCGAATTCCAATCAGTAGAAAAGTAAGATCTTCAGGCCTTCTTCACTTTTTGGTTAGAGATCTTGGCAAAATCTTTGAGGAATGGAAGATATTTGGGTAAAAAATCTAGGGTTTTTTAGACCTAGGGTGAGAGGAAGGAAGAAGGAAAAGGAAAGTGTAAAGAATAATCTAGAAAATCATTTTTTAAGTTGCTAAATTCGTATAGTCCGCTCGTGCGTCACTTTTTCCGCTTGAACGTACATGTTTCCAGCACAGATGCTAAAACTTCAAACGGGTATAACTCTCTCATCCGGACTCCGTTTTAGATCGTTCTTGTATCCAAATTGAAGTCTCGGAAACAATTTTTCCAATGGTTCTAGCCTTACGCCAAAATTCAAAGTGTGGAAAAAGTAAAGGGCAAAAGAGCAACGGTTGTTCGTAGGAAAAATTATCTGAATTAAATTTTTGGTTCACTCTTACTTTACCATTATGTTACCACTTCGATCAATGTCCCAAAATAAAATAAGGAGTCTCCAAACACAACAATAAAAATGTCAAGAGCCAACCCACTAGTCCCATAAATTCAAACTTAACCAGGCAGATCGTTCGAGCGCCTAATCTTGCGCTCGAACGTGCAGACCAACAAAGCCGTCCGCTCGAGCGACCACTTCTATGCTCGAGCGGGAATTCACAACTCTTAGAATCTCAGACAGACTGCAAAAGTATTGGGAGCCTCACAAGTCCACTCAAGCATCAACTCTCTCGTTCGAGCGGAGGGAAAAATTATGAATCGTTACATTTCATATGATATCACGAGCTCTAATAGAGGATTATGAACTTTCATCAAAACACCGGACGATTGGATGGACGACCGGGTAGATGTTCGGCCAGTCGGCCGGAAAGTGTAATTTTTTCACAATTTTTTACAAGGAGGTGGTCATCCAATGAGACAACCAACCAAACATCAGGCCAGTCGTCCGGTGGTAAAAACGAACTGCAGCTCAAACGACTATGAATAATGAATTGATAAAAGTTTCTAACCATCAAATTTGGTGAAAGATTTAACATATGCTCGTTTTGATATTTATTTGATGGAACGATTGGAGCAGCAAAATATACTTTTTTTTATCAAATTTAAATTTGATGAAAGAATAGATGCAATGTTAGAAATGGTCATAGAGGTTAAGAATTCAAGTTGATAATTATTACCCTTTCGTTATAACGTAACTTACCAATCTTTTACCATCCATTGTATAACAAATAAAAAAAATATAATAAATCTATCTATCTATTGTTGGAAATGGTAG